AAAAGGAAGTGTCTGCAAAACCACAAAAGCTTTGAGTGAAACAGGAGAAAGAAAAGGGAGATGCTCCCACCTAAGATGAAAGGGGCAATGATGATGACTTGGGGCAGTCTCTCTTATACACCTACTTAATAGTCTCCTGCAGAGCAAGGAGTCTGCTATGTTCAGGGGAAGCACACAGGGTCCAGAGCTGGCCTTCTGAGCCCTTCTGAGGGCAGGCAGACAATCCTGCCCTCCACCACTCTGATGATTCCCCTGCAGAGAGATGCCCAGGTTCATCAGGTCCAGGCCCAGCTGTTTATCTCATCTCTGACTAGACCTAAAGGAGCAACCACCTAGTTTCTCTGGGGTTGTGGATTGTAGCCTGGTTATCCTTTGTGTTACATCTAATGTCCACTTATTATACCATGTTTGCCTTTCTGGGTCTGGGTTACCTCACTCAGGATTTTTTCCAGTTCTGTCCATTTGCCTGCAAATTTCATAATGTCATTTTTTTAAACCACTGAGTAATACTCCATTGTGTAAATGTACCACATTTTCTTTATCCATTCTTTAGTTGAGGGGCATCTAGGTTATTTCCAGGTTCTGGGTATTATGAATAATGCTGCTATGAACATAGTTGAGCAAGTGTCCTTATGGTGTGATTGAGCCCAAGAGTGGTATTACTAAGTCGTGAGATAGATTGATTCCCAATTTTCTGAGAAACTGTCATACTGCTTTCCAAATGGCTGTGGAAGTTTGCACTCCCACCAGCAGTGGAGGAGTGTTCCCCTTGCTCCACATTCTCTCCAATATGAGCTGTCATCAGTGTTTTTAATCTTAGCCATACTGACAGGTGTAAGATGGAATCTCAGAGTCATTTAATTTGCATTTCCCTGATGACTAAGGATGTTGAGCAATTCCTTAAATGTTTTTTGGTCACTTGAGATTCTTCTGTTGAGAATTCTCTGTTTAGATCTGTACCCAATTTTTTTAATTGGTTTATTTGGTATTTTGATGTCCCTAAGAGGGACACACATGAAATGCCCAGAAAGGGGGAAATAGATGAAATAGATAAGATCTCCTGGGTACACTAGCAGGGGGCAGGGAAGAGGGGAGAGGGGAAGGGATGGGGGATGAGAACATGAGGGAAAGGGATGTTTGAGTGGGGGGAGGGAGAGACAGAGACGGAGAGCAATGAAAGAGATATCTTGATAGAGGGGGTCATTATGGGGTTAGGGAGAAACCTGGTGCTAGGGAAATTCCCAGAAATCCACAGGGATGACCCCAGCTAAGACTCCTAGCAGTAGTGGCCTTCCTCTGTAATCAGATTGTCATCTTACAGCCTTCATCCACCAGCTTGGTGGAAGCAGATGCAGAGATCCACAGCTAGGCACCTTGAGTCCAGTTGAAGAGAGGGAGGGAGAAGGATTGTATGAGCAAGGAAGGTCAAGATCATGATGGGGAAACCCACAGAGACAGCTGACTCGAGCTAGTGGGAGCTCAAGGATACTGGAGTGACAGCTAGGGAACCTGCAGGGAACTGAACCAGGCCATCTGAATGTGGGTGACAGTTGTGTGGCTTGGTCTGCTTGGGGGTCTCTGACAGTGGGACTTGGATTTATCCCTGGTGCATGAACTGGCTTTTTAGAGCCCATTCCCTATGGTAGGACACCTTGCTTAGCCTTGATACGGGGAAGGGGGTGCAACAACAGTTTCCCGCCCCCCCCCCTTTTTTGAGTGCAAGTGAGAGAATCCCTGGGGATCAAGAGAAACTTAGGGCGCGCTTTTTGCTGAGAAGAGTCGTGTGTTTCCATCAGCAGGGTGATGCTTAGGCCTTCCTGAACAGGGTAAAGCTAAGCCCAAACACTGAAACTTCTGGAGAAAATCGAAGCCTGACATCCTTTTAGTTTCCCCAGTGCTTGGAAATAGCGCTATCCTTCACGATGCCACCAGAGGGCAGGAGAGATCATATTACACGGGGGAATTTTTTTCTTTTTTTTTTTTTCTTTTTCTTTTTTTTTAAAATCTCCTACTTTTCTTCCAAACTGTGTTCCCCCTGATGAAACCGAATCCTCCAGCTGTGGTGTCCCAGGCGCCGCCTCCCTCGGCGCCCCTCTCCTGCCCTGCCCTGAGCAGCCTGCCGCGCCGCCCACAAGCCCCAACTATTCCGCAGGTCACCAGCCCTGAAGATGAAGGTTTGGCTGTTGCTGGGACTTCTGCTGGTACACGAAGCGCTGGAAGATGGTGAGTGACTGGGCCGGGTAGTATCTGGGCTCTGCCCGCCGCCTTCGCCCAGGACCCACAGCAGTCCCCGAGATTCCCCTAACCACTCCCCTAACTTTGGACCTAAGGGGTCGGCTCCCCGGTGGTCAACCATCCCGTGCACCTGGCCCCTCCTAGTCCCCTGGTCCACTTTGTTCCAACCCCCACCTCCCGGGAGACCCCTCTGGGAAGGTGGCGGTGACGTTGACCCTTAGGAGCCCATCAGGACTTCTCTAGCCTTACCAGAAAACCACAGGCGACCAAACCCTTCATTCCCCAGCCAGCGACTGTGTGTGTCAACGTGTCAGTCTGATGGCGGTGGATGCTTCCACCTTCCTACTAGGCGGGCGTCGCCGCTCCCGGGCTTCTGCTACGGAGAGCCTGTACCACCTAAGCAAAACGAGTCTGGTGGAAAACTCCGTGTCCTCTTTCCCCTTTGCAGTCCTGTTTTTGTTTGTTTGTTTGTTTGTTTTGTTTTGTTTGTATACCAACCTGAGCTAAAATCCTGCAAGGTCTGTAACAACAACAAAATTCTGCGCTAAATCGCAAAAAAAAAAAGTAAATAAATAAATTTAAAAAAATAAACTACACCGCAGTTACATTTCCCGTATAAATGGGAGGATAAGTGAAAGAAAAGAACTACGTTTTTGTACCACATAAGAGGGCCTTGCGTGACTTAATTCTTTAAATTACATTTATTGCCTGTGTGTTTCGGTATGTTTTGGTATGCGCATGCTAGTGTGGAGGTCAGAAGACAACCTTCAGGAGGGGATTCCCTCTTTGCACTATGTGAATTCCAGGGATTGACCTCAAGCTGTCAGACTTGGAGACATGTATTTTCACTCCGTGAACTATTTTACCAACCATGGCATCATTTTTTAAAACATATTGGGATGAGTACCTGCGCTAGGTCCATCCTGTTGTGTAGATATATAACCACAGGGTCAGGCTTTATTGTTACATATTTGTGCATGTGTTTGTGTGTGTATTGTTTTTATATAAAGATGGCATATGTGCATATTACTGCTAATTATTATTATTTTGTTTGTTTTTATTTTTTCAAGACAGGGTTTCTCTGTGTAGTTTTGTGCCTTTCCTGGATCTCGCTCTGTAGACCAGGCTGGCCTCGATCTCATAAAGATCCGCCTGCCTCTGCCTCCCAAGTGCTGGGATTAAAGGCGTGTGCCACCACCGCCTGGCTTGCTAATTATTTTATGTGCTCAGTTATTTATTTAATTGTTGGTGTTTGCATAGTACATCTTTCATCAGGTGACATCCTGTTAACCCAGTGCTTGTCAACCTTCCTAATGCTGTGACCCTTTAATGTAGTCCCTCACATTGTGGTGACCCGCAACCATAAAAGTTTTTTTGCTGTTTCATGACTGCAACTTTGCCATGGTTACGAATCGTAATGTGAATGCCTGGTACTTCTGATGGTCGTTAGGCGACTTTTGTGGGAGGGTGGCAACACGCAGATTGAGAACCAATGCGCTAACCTTGGAACTCCTCAGCCACTGCCACACATTTGTGTAGATTTGGTTGAAAAGCAGACTTTGCTGTTATGCAACCTCACGCTGGAGACAGCTCACCCTGGCTCGCATTAGATCTCCAATCCTGACCCACCCCTTTCCATCCTCCGAAACTGCAGTCACCTTACAAAAAAAATTACCAGACTCAAGTGTGCAGAAGTTCAAGGTGGTGGTAGCCCATGACAACTGTGCATGAGGCTCCTTGAGGACAGAGCCCTACTTAGTAAAGGGTAAGCAGAGCATCCGGGGGAGGCAGACAGCAATTCCTCTTTGCCCAGAGAAAGGCTGGCGTGAGCTCAGTTTGCACAATACAGCATTAAACCATTCCTGGCAGGTCCTTGTATCTGACTGCGAAAGTGGTGGAGCTGGAGTATTTGGTATCATTTTTGAGTAGGGCAAAAGAAGGCCAGATAAAATAACTTCAAATAGTCCATTCACTTTTGTGAAACCCATGATGGCAGCTGGAGAGACTCAAGAGGTGACTTCAGCCACCAGGGATCGGAGTATGTGAAGTACAACAGACATCTGTCTAAATGAATTAGCATCCGTTTAGGCAAACTCATTCATTCAAACAATAAACATTTATGAGACAGAGAAAATGGAAAACAGGCCAAATACTTTGTAATTAAGAATGGGTAAACTGTGAGTTTTGTCTTTAAACATAGCTATAAATGCATGATACATACATTTGTAATATATATACATATATATATGTGACATACATATGTAGATATATATGATGTATAAGCCATGGACAAAATTTGAACATACCTATTGAAGACTTAATGATTTTATTTCATTAAGTTATTTAACTCAAGTAACTTCAGTTAATTTACTTCATTAAGTTAATATTAAGATATTAACCCTATCGAGAATTTTTGTTTCTTTGTCATTTTGGATGCTAGGGTGGTGACAGGGGAGGGACAGAGCTAACCACAGAGCTAACCACAGACAGTGACTATACCAGAAGTTCTTCCAGTGTTTCCCTCAGATTGGCAGGTCAGGATATGTTACCCCTGGACCATCCCCCAGCACCAACTGCATGCACAGGCTGTGATTCTAATTGTCCCTGAGCCTGTCAGTTTGGGGACCACATTTGGGAGAGAGCCTCACAGGAAGAGGACATCCATGAAGTGGTCATCTGTCCTAACCAGTGACATTCGCCTTGTCCAACTCTACAGTGACCACATTGTGAGAAACAGTGTTATTTCTCTTCACGAGAAGGAGCTGACAGACCACATAGTCTACCCATTTCACCAAACGAAGGCTTGAAAACAGCGAATAGATAGGCCAAAGACTCCAGCTAGGGAGGTACTGCTCCAAGTACTGCTCTTCAATGTTCTGTCTAACACTGCACTGCCATGTTCACACTTAAAAGTATAGAACTGTGGTCACCTGACTTCTTATGTGTATTTAGTGTTAGGGGAAAGTGCTGAGGTCCTCATATTTGTTCTTACTGTGGTTTTATTTACCTACACAAGCCCCCTTTATCCAATACAGTCTTCAGTTCAACACGCGTTTATTCTGCATCTTATAAAAGAATTTTCTGAGAACTAAAAAGACTCATCAAAACCTGAAAGGGGAAAACCAGGTCTCCAAGAAGATAAGGAGAGTGGTACAGTGACCATGACCCTCCAGCAGGGATCGTGTATCACTTTCCTGTGTCAGTTTGCTCCTTGGAAAAAGACAGTAGATCAGAAACCTGTATAGAAATAAGTAAATATTCATAAAATACCTCTTTGATTACAAATGCAATTAACAGATGTTTCAAAATATTTAGGATCTTGACCTGTGTGTTTGGTAGATAAAACTGTCTTCCATATTTAGGGCCAAACAAGATGTTAGTCTGAGGGCGTGTGTGTGTGTGTGTGTGTGTGTGTGTGTGTGTGTGTGTGTGTGTGTG